ACAAGTCTTGACTGCTTTGCAGTAGTTCTGCAGTATATTGTGAAATGAGGAAATGTGAGTACTCTGGATTTTCTTTTGAAGTATTGTTGTAGCTGTTCAGCATCTCTTGTGTTTCCGTGTAAATTTTACAATCAGCTCGTCAGGTTCTCCTCTGTAGACCAGCTTGTGTAGTAATGCCCTTGGAACGAAGTGAAGTCTCTGAAGTCATCAACTTGGCATATTTTTGTATTCACTAACTCTTCAATTTTTTTCAACAATATTTTATAATTTTCAGTTTATAGATCTTGCACTTTTTGTGGGTCAGATTTATTCCTGAGTATTTTATTCTTTTTAATGTTATTATAAATAGAATTTGTTTAAAGTTTTATTTTTGAGTTGTTCCTTGCAAGCATATAACAAATACAATTGATTTTTTTTTTTTTTTTAAAGATAAAAGGAGGGAAACATTAACAGACAAACATTTTACAACATATCACAAGCACAATACAGACAATACAGAGTTACAAACAAAGACAATTGATGTTTGAGTATCAGTCTGACATGTGTACCTGCTGAACTCATTGATTAGATCTCACATTTTTTGGGTGAATGCTTAGGATTTGCTGTCTACAGAATCATGTCATCTGCAGAAGACGTAACTTCCTTCCTTTTCAGTCTGGATGCTCTTTTTTCCTTTCCCTCATCCAGCTGGCCTGGCTGGAACCTCTTGTACTTATAGAGGCGGGAACAGCCTTACCTTGCTCATTTTTGAGGAACTGTTTTTAGCCTTTCACCGTTAACTCTGATGTTTCTTGATTCCCTTGGTTAGTTTCTTGTCTAAGTTGTTGAGTGTTTTTATTTATTTATTTATTTATTTGGCTTGATTTTTCTCCGGTACCGGGAACCGAACTCACAACCTTGCGCTTGCCAGGCAGGCGCTTTTGCCGCTGAGCTAAATCCCCAGCCCTGTTGAGTATTTTTATTGTGACAAGATATTCAGTTCCTGTTTTTACATTGTTGCTCTTATTTAGAAATTTTAAAGACTCAGATGTTGATAATATTTTAGGTGAATAGTTATTTTAGCAGTCTTTAGGATAACGTATCATTCCTAAAGTCTTTCTAATCAAAATAAACTTGACAGTTTTTTTCCAGTTTTAAGATTAGAAATACTAATTTTTTTAACCTTCTGTATCCTCCTCTTTTTTTTAATAGGAGTAACTTTATATATGGCTCATACTTGAGTAAAGAAGAGATTGCTTTCTCAGATCCCACTCCTGATGGAAAACTGTTTGCGACACAGTACTGTGGCACTGGTCAGTTTCTGGTGTATAACTTTATTAATGGACAGAATGCCACCTAAAGCACATCTGCCTACAGTACTAGAAGACACCCATCTATTGAAGAGAATGGATTGGTTGCTGACTTTAACCAGGAACTAGGGCCATTTTTATTACAATGAACTCAGGACTGGCAACAACCATGTGGTTGTTCCATTTTCATAAAATTGGAAACAATGCAGTAATAGCTTATTGTTTTGTTTTTTAAAGAAGATATTTTATTATCTTTTACAGAAATTTATGATTGATGTATTTTATCTATAGTTATTTAGACATGTTTACATGCAGCAGATAATTTGTTCATAGTGGACTGAAAACTAATGCAAGGACTACGGTCTCAGTGATAAGTATATTTTGAAGTCCTTAATACGGAGATATACCAGTGTAGCTTGGTACTGTATTTTTTATATTGATCTGCTGATACCAGTTATAGGTTTAAAGATTGTATTTTCACAGTGGAAACCGATGTGTGAGTTACTGTTGAAGGATGTTGCAGTACTATGTGTTTAGGAATTGGAAGCTAATTCTTAAAAGGCCGAAGTATACTTTGCAGAAACCCCTACAGAGAAGGAAAGTTGTAAACTGCAGGAGAATTCGGAAGAGTGAGCTTTTTCTTGCATTTCTCTTTCCTATCCTTGGTGGCAGGAAGACGGAGGGCGTGAAGAATTGAGGCTTTCCTTCACGGAGAGCTGCAGATGATGAGAATTACAGAGTGCCCTCTGAGTTCATGGTTTGATTCTGGTTTCACTTCATTATTGTTTTTAAATAAATGGTAACTTGGCACAACTGGGCTGTGAACAGATCTCAAAGAGGGTTCTAAAGCTATGGAATAGCCGCAAGCTAAATGTGATGACTTGGTATCTGCTTGTTACTCCTCAGAAATACTGCACTGCGTGTATGCCCTCATTGCGGGACTTCATTTTCATACTTGTCTGTCCTTCCTCGTGCCCTCTGCTTTTAAAGGGTTTATATACTGAAAAACTGCTGTGGCCTTTTATGACTGTACATAAAGTAGAATAAAATAATAAAATACTTGATAGCTTTTTTTAAGTGATGAATGCATTAAGATAATGTTGTATTGTCATTTGTGCTTTTTCAGGGTGTTGTTTGAGACCTTGAAATACGCTTAAAATATTGGCTCCTTAAAGGTAATTTTCACCACTTTGCCACAGGCCCAACATGTCAGCAGTAACTCAGCAGAACTTACTCTGCAGATGGCAGATTCTTTTGTGATTATTTTAGTAACGTACTTCTCCAGTCTCTCACAGAAATGAAGGGCAGAGCCCGAGCGTGAGAAATGACCATATCTGCATTGAAAACTGGCTGGAATTTAGGGCTTTACTTAGGGTTTTATCCCCAGTAGGTTTGTGCTTTTGTTGTGGTTGTTATTATTACTATGATTTTGGGTTTTCAAGACAGGTCATGCTGTATATATAGTCCAAGCTGGCCTTGAGTTCTCGTTTAGCCCAGGCTGGCAGTGAGCTTGCGATCCTCTTGTGTCGTGCTCCTGAGTGCTGGGGTTACAGGCTGCACCACCGTGCTCGGCTGTGCTTTTATTCTTTATAGACTGGTATAAGCTCAGTAGTTTTTATATGGGAGAAGAATAAGGCAATGAAAGTATTTTCTTCTGATGAACACAGCTCCTCTAATTTTATAATCTAGTTACTTCAAGAATAGTACTAGTAGTACCTCACATTTAGGTGTTTGCCGTGTCAGACCCTGTGTTTAGTTTGGAATTATTTTATTTAATTATCATGACAGCACTATTAAGTAGGTTTTACAAGGTTAGAATCTGGAATTCCAGTTGGGAGTGATGGCACACACCTGTGATCCCAGTAGGCTGAGGCAGGAGGATCACAAGTTGGAGCCCAGCCTGGACAAATTAGTGATTTAGTAGGACCCTGTCTTAAAAATAAAAAAGGGCCAGGGATGTAGCTCATTGTGAAGAATCTGGAATTTTGAAGATAATTAAGGGATTGCTGACAGGGGTCCTTGGTGCTGACCTGTAGTCCCAGCTAGGGAGGCTAAGGTAAGTTTTAGGCCAGTGAGATTCTGTATTGAAGCAGAACTTTGTAAAAGGCTGGGACACAGCTCAGTACCCCTGGGTTCAGCACCTGGTATTGCTGAAACCAAACCACACCAAACCAGTTGCGGTGGTCTGTATAAAACATGTTGAAGCACTGGACAGAAGCTGTGATGTGGGGGTGGAGGTGAGGAGCTGGGCGCAGAGAAAAGATATGATGGAAGGGTTGGTCAGAGCTTATAACTGGCCAGAAAAGGGTACTGGCAAAGCATGCTGGGTAAGTAGGAGTTTTGGTTTGGGGGCTCTCTGGCTGGATCGACTGATGGGCATACCCAGGAATGAGATGGGGAGGATCTGTGGAAAGCGAGAGCTAGGTTTGTGTCAGGGTTTTGGGGTGGGCGGCGGTGTGGCCGGGGCTGGAACCTCACGCACGCTGCCCGCACTCCACGAGCTGTGTCTCAGCCCCATTTCTGTAGGGACTCCACCTCCAAGGGCAGGTAGCACGCCTGCTGTACTGTGAGATAGATTGGCTCAGGGTTTGACAGAGGTTTGGACGGAGCAGATGCGTTTATCAGTGTAGTTAGTGGAAGCTTCCGGATCTTCCATCTTGGGCGTGGAAAGGGATGACGCAGGAGAGGTGTAGAGGAACCGCACCCTTCCTGTGAGCACCTCGAGGAAGTGAGCCTGAGGAGGACTGAGCAAGGGCCAGCCGTCAGGGCAGTGGTAGAAAGGGCAGAATTGGGAAGGGAAGGGTGGTCGACAGCGCCCTGGTACAGTGGGAAACTGGCCGGAAGCCGGCAGTGGCAGGAGGGCAGCGTCTGGGTTATAGAGGCAACGGCAGCTGTGTTAGACCAGTGCCTGTGGCCAGGCTTCAGAAGAGGAGGGGTTCTCTAATTGTCGGTTACAGAAAAGTGTCTGTACGGTGGTTTTTTGTTTTGGGTTTTTCTTCCTTGTTTTGGAGACAGGGTCTCTCTGTAGTTCAGGCTAGTCCTGAACTCACTTTGTAGCCCAAACTGGCCTTGAACTTGCAGTGATCCTCCTGCCTCAGCCTCTTGAGGGCTGGGATTATAAAGATATGCCATCATGCCCGGCTTTTGATGGTTTTTGTTGTTTGTCCTTTATGAAAATGTCTAGCCTTACCTGTGTGGACACGATGGTTCTCTTTCACGAGAATTAGAAAAAGCAGTATTTTACCAGTTCATATGGTTCAAGAGAGAAACTGACCTATCTAGTAAGAGCATGACTGTTACAGTTAATAAGTACAGCAGACTGCAGTGATTAGTTTTGATTTGGTGGTACTAGGGATTGAATCCAGGGCTTTTACATTGAGGAACACCTCCTTTATATGAGAGGGGGATGTTAAATCACCCAGGCTGAGCTCGGACATGGTAATCCTCCTGTCTCAGCCTCCCGGAGTGCTGGGATTACCGGTGTGTATAACCGTGGTGGGCACTGTAGTGATACTTTAATTGCTTTTGCTTGCTTTGCTGCCCAGTGAGGGATTCGTTGCCCTGGATGGAAACACGGCCGTATTGTAGTCCGGCCACAGTTCACCTAAGGTTAAGACTGCTGAGTGGATCGCTGAGATAGTGACTGCAGACATAAACCTTCCATCTTTTTCAGGCTCCTGAGCCTTCTGGCAGGAAAAAGCAACAACAGAAGAGGAAAGAGTTCTTTATTTACCCTCCCCTGCCAAAATAAAATACTGTGGACTATTCATGCAAGAGTGGTTGAAAATACCCACTTGTTAGTATTGCCTTTTCTTCCTACAGCTCACTCCCTCTGTCGTGTTGTGGTCACTGAAGTAGATACTTCCACTCCGGGTGTTTATTACGTGAGTGACTTTCCTTTGACCTTATAGACCATTCCTGCAGTCATCTTAACGACGGCTTTGCTGTGAGGTCAGGGCTTCAGTTGTAGCACTGTTCCAGACGCAAAGGAAGTTTGAGCGCCATTCTGTCTCAGGAGAGGCCTGAGGCCCAGTGGTCCTGGGTGCTGTTCCAGGCTGCGTAGTTGGATGTGAGTCTCTCTGAGGCAGCTGTTTGGAATGTGGAGCGGACCCTGGCAGTGTTTTCTCTCGGTCCATCATCAGACTCGGAAACACTGTCCTTCTTGAGGTCCAAGTGTGGGGGCTTTGGCCTAGAAGAACGTGTCTGTGGGTTCTCTGTCCCGTTCTGTTGTTACTCTTTGTGTATTTCAGCTAAAACAGTATTTTCCATTCATTCATTCGTTAGTAGAATGAGTGGAGTAGAAGATGGGTAGGAAATAAATGGAAAGGTAACAGTCATGCCTTACATCCTACCACACAGCTCAAGCAACCCAGAGCTGTGTTTGAGAGCAGGATAACAGCATAGTTGTACTCTATAAGATAAAAGATTGGGGATGCACTGTGAATATATCTAATAACTCAGTTTCTAGGTCTGTCACCTACAACTATCTGGGTAGAAATCTGCAAATTGGTCGTGGATTTATGTGGATGTATCTGCTTTGGGTAAGCTGTGGAGTTATTGTTGTTCAACAAATATTTAGCACTTTCTCGGCTCATCGTGCCAGAACAGTAGACCCTTAGAGCCATCCCACCTACGATCAGGGGACTTTCCTGGGCATTGTTGGAGACGGGAAGCTCATTGCATTTATTGAAAGAAAGCAAACTTTTTTGGGGTGGGGATGGGAGAGAATTTTAATACATTCAGCAAATCACATGAAAGGACAAGAACATACAGTTGACACAAGACAACTTTAAATCATAAACAAAATGTGAGGTAGACTGACTCGTGAAGTTCACCAAATTTTGGTTAAGAAAATTGTACAGTAATAAAATAACAGGTGCTCCCTTTCTAATTCACAAAAAGCAGTTGCATAAATTACAGCAGAAACAAATTCACTACAATAGTTCTCATTCTAACCTTTAGTTTACATTCAGTATTAACCTGTGTGAACTGTCATACACGCTGCGGTTCAGCGGGTCTCTAGGCGAATTACTGTGCAGGCCTCGCAAATCCATTGGCCCCACACTAGGGTCTAAAGGGTAGGAAAGCCCAACACCGAACACACCGAGACACAGATTAACAGATCATGGCGTCCTGTGCCTGTGCAATTTTATCCTTCAAGAGGACTTAACATTCTCTAAAGGAGGACACTGATGAAGTGATTTTAGAAGGTCCAAACCACAGCAAGACAGGGCTTGGAGAGAACAGGCAGGTCAGTGCAGATTTCTCCATTACTGGGGTGACGGCCTTTGGCTCGCTTCTGACATTTGTCTTCCACAGGGTTGGGTGGTACTTAGGAGCTCATGACGGTTGGAACTTGCAGAGTGCAGCCCTAACTAACACGGAGTACTGGCATCTAAAGTAACTTTAAGAAGCGTCCTTTAGACTGTGAAGTTGTAAAGCCCAAGGAAACTCTGGAGAGGCCATCTGCCCCAGGTACATTGTTTTAAAATTACTTCAAGTACTTTATCTTCTCTACATAGGAAATGTTGTGGGAATATTGCACAAACAGTGGAACTGTGATATCACCTGTATCAGGCCTTTTTAAAGAAACAGAACATGTGAAATACACTCATACCTAAACCCAGCTGTTCAGAATGTACCTCTTGGCCAAAAATTGAGCTGTACTAAAATGGAGTAGTTTTTAAAGCATATGTAAGGCAGATCCTCTTTGAAGGACAATTAAAAAATAGGGTTAAAAAGAATTGTTCATTTCAAAATACATTTAAAGCATCATAAGTAGCTATATTAAAACCAAGAGATCTGCAGTCTATTTTGTCTTAATACATTCCATCTTTTCACTAGCTGTAAACTCGTTATTACAAGATAATAAAGCTGGTCAGTTAATACTATTTGTTCTCAGCAAATGCAGGCTTTGTAGGGCCTCTCAGTAGTTTCACAAGAGAGATTCAAGTATGGCCATTTTAAGTGGGGATAAAGTGATACAAACGGGCTAATGGGAAAAATCTCAGATTGTTTAAGAACAAGAACCAGAGTGGTACAAGTGTAAACTTCCAATTGAATGTTTCAGAATGCTTTCTAGAAATCTGGTTTTGATTAAAACATTTGATGAGAAAGCCATAGAAAACTTACGCCTCCTGTTGTCGATACTGGTTAGGTATCACCGGCTGGTGAGAGTCAAGAAGACTTCCTAGATGTTCCTTAACCCTCACCAGAAGGTCAGCGGTAGAATTCCCAGGTCTCTTCTGTGGCGGTATCTCCCACTGCAGCACTTCGTGGTGTCCACGTAAGGGAGGCAGCTAATGCTGTTTGACTTGTGAAGGAAGCTCTGCCTGAGTGCCTGACAGAAACGACTTCGCTCCAGCCCCCGGGACCTCGGCCTGGCATTTAGGTTTGCTGGTGCCGGCTGTTCACTTCCAGCCACGCCGGGGCGTGTGCAGGTTAACAGAGTGTCTGAACTGGCCCGGCGCTAGTGCCTAATCGGGTTCTGCACAAGGTGAATCGCGGTGGCGTGGCATGCTTAGAGACTGGGAAGAGTTTTAAGGAAGGGGGAAAAGCAAAGGAAGTAAGCCCGGAGAAGCTTCATTTGCATACGATGCCTGCTCTGCATTTACTGATTTGTTTGTTCAGTTTAAATAGTAAACTTTTAACTCCTGTGGAAATTTTGCCAAGTTTCAATACATACAAGATTATAAATTTTAAACTAACACTGCACAGAAAGACAAGGCTACTTCTTTTTTTAAATACAAGTATCTTCTACATTCTATCGTATCAGACCCCTGAGTAATGCTGTACCAAAGTACAGATCTGAAGAGAGACTGAGGGCTTAGGCCTCAGGCGTCAGTCTTCAGTTCATTCCACACCAGCGGTGTGGCTCTCATGTGACACATTCAAGCTAGCGAATGCTGACCGTTCCCTAACGTAGTGTAGAAAACCCACGCAGACTCCCGGCTCTCCACGCGGGTCTCCTCCGCCCCCACGGGCAGGCCGTGTCCTCGCCGAGCCACGGTCTGTGGTGGAGTTCCCCTGAACCGAAGGCCCTGGAGTCGGACCTGACGGACCGGGACGTCCCCAAAGACCTGGGACGCATTGGGGAGTTCTTTGGAGAGTAGAAATACGTTGCACTTTGCTCCACAGTGATTGTACTTTAAAGGAAATAATCCCCAGTGGCTTCTGCCCCGCCCCACCTTGCCGTCCCTTTGCTGGTTGGTCTCCGCGAGGCTCACACGTGGCGTCCGGTGAGGAAGTAGAGAGGCTTGTCCTCACTGCTGTTGGCGGTTTGGAACTCGTCCCGGAGGCGGAACTGCCATTCGTCCTCCAGCTCCAAGCGGACGATGGTTTGGCGTAAGGAGCTTCTGTCTTGGCAGATGACACACAGGGTAGCACCTTCCGGAAAGAGGCAGAGTGTGTCTTAGGTGCGGGGCTCAATGCGGGGCCCTGACCTAGCTCCTCTCTCAGACTCAGTCTCAGGCCAGCACCTCTGAGGAGCCGCTGCTTAGGTAAGTAACCTATCAGAATTGTTCTGAGTGAGTAGTTCTACAACTTCAAGGGTTTCAGAGAGAGTGCCGTGAGAAATCTCAACCGCAGCGCCCCTTGCCCGTAGGAACCAGTGGTTTCACGTGTCCTAGGACTGCATCCCTTACGCCGCTCCCTGGGATGGGCAGCCGTGTGGCTGGAGGGCCCGTCTGGGCCACGTAGCGCGGTTGGCAGCACCCTCACGTGACTGCCCGTGCCATCCCGACATTGCTGTTGCGCGCCCCCGACAGCTCTTCCCACCACCCGTGGAAACTCAGCCTTCACTGCCCTCACAGGTCAGTGGAAGAATCCTTTCACGATTCTTTGGGATGTTTCATCTGCAGTTTGTTCTGAGGTAAATTTAGCTTTTTGTATGATACGTATCTGTCGAAATAACACTGGTGTCTATTCCAGGATCGTAACTTAAGGGTTGATGTGTGGGGATACAGTTACACATATTTCCTGGATTTCTGCCCCAGGCAGGACATTATTGCATCCACATTACCACAGCAGGGCTACGCTGGTAATACACATGTACAGGTGGACTCAGTAACCTGATTTGCAAAAACTCATTTAACATGGCCTCAAATCTGCATGTAACGTAACAGTGGCTGCATGTAACATACATGCACCTGCATGTAACATAACAGTGGCTTAGGCTGGGTGTGGTGACACACGCCTGTAATCTCAGCACTTGGAGGCTGAGACGGGAGGACTGCTTCGAGTTCGAGGCTAGCCGGAGCTACAAAGTTCAAGGCCAGCCTGAACTTCGTAGTGAAACCCTGTTGCAAAAAGACCAAAAAAACCCATAAAAGAGACTTGACTCCCCCCTGCCCCTCTAATTATGGAGGTCAGTGGCCTTGGTTTAAAACTAAGGTATCTGGATTATTGGCGAAAGTCAGTATTAAAGGACTGCTTTTTGTGAGGTGTTTCAACTGTGAACTTTTTCTAGTGGGAACTAGTAATGTTGATAATTTCTAGTGGGAACTAGTAATGTAAGATACTAAATTTAGTTTACCTTTTAGAAACTTAAATTTCTTAAGAAGATCAGCACCTACAAAAGAGTCACAGAGGTACAAGAGAAGTCCACTGAAGAACACCCCTTCGCAGCTGACGTTGCTGGAGTGTGGTCTGGAGCTGACGTAGCATATGGCCACCTGCGGGCAGCGAGCAGAGACAGTGCGGCGTGAGACGGGCGCGCGGCCGAGCCCTGCCTTCCCGTGCCAGGGCACAGGCCGCGCCGCCCCCTGCTCCGCGAGCAGCGTGGTGGCCGTTTAAGCTTCGCATCTCTTTGGCCGTACTGTGCCCAGTTTTAACTTGAGAGTGCCATGTAGTGTTCACAGGAAAGAACTGCTGTGACAGATTAATACTGAGAAGCAGCCCCTCCGTCTGCGAGGGTAGCATGTAAGGAAAACAACCCTCCCTTTAAGAACACATATTTATGAAGGATTAAGTAGAGTATCTTACTGATGAGAATAAAATACGTGTCATCAGCTTGTCATCTAGCTAGATCTAAACTCCCGTTGGTGGAAGCTTAGAGCAGCGTGGGTTTAAGCTCGCAGCTCTGTGCGGCCTCGGCACGGGAGGTACGCGACGCGAGCCGCGCGGTGAGGCGGAAGTGGGACCGAGCGGGGTGGCGGCCCAGCCAGGCGGCTGGCCGGGGCGCCCTGGGCGGGGTCCTTCACTTGCCGGTGCCTGAGTTGCTGTCTACGGAGGTCACAGTGGGACCTCTTTTGTAGGTCTGTGTGGGAGTTAAGTGGTTGGTGGAGACCTCAGCGCTCGGTAAACGGCAGCGGCTGCTGGGAGCGGGACTGTGTGGTCTGAACTGAGCCCTTACTCGGGGGTCGTGGCGTGGGGAGCCCTGGCTTACAGGTCTGGTCACACAGGCACCGTGAGGACTGCACTACCTCACGTGGTTTTTAGCTATGAAGAGCGACAGTTAGTGGCCCAGCTCACAGCACAGATGGCCGAAACGTCGTGAGTTGAATACAGTTGGACTTGGCGTGGTAAGGGGCGTGTGTACAGACCCGTGTGTCGGTGCACACCAAGTGAAAAGCCGAGAAGATGGCACACAGCCATGTTCTGTTCCTGTTACTGGTGCTTTTACTTTCTTCTTTACACCATTGTCTTGTTTGCAAAGATCCAGGCCTGGTGTGGTGGCGCATGCCCATCATCCCAGCACCCAGGAGGCTGAGACAGGAAGTTCCCTGAGAGCTTGAGGCCAGCCTAGACTACACAGTGAGTGTAAGCCCAGCCTGAACTACTACATAGCGAGGTGTGTCTCAGAAAAAAATTCAGTGATTGTAAGGAGGACATATTACATTAATGAAGATAATATGGGTGAAGCACTAAGAAATAATCTCAAAAGAAAGCTTAATGACAGAAGTCTGGATGTTCAAGTAACAAAAACCTGCTGGCCGGAGAGGCGCACGCCTGTAATCCCAGCACTCATGAGGCTGAGGCAGGAGGATCCTTGCGAGTTCAAGACCAGCCTGGGCCACAAAGTGAGCTCAAGGCCAGCCTGAACTGCATAGCGAGACCTTGTCTCAAAAAGATACATACATACATACATACATGACCTAAAAAGGGTGAACTTGAGAAGTTTAGAGGTGGGAAGTGGAGGAGTGCCAGCTACCCCAGAAAAGCTCGAGCTCTGTGGGCAGGAGTGCCACGCACCAGGACAGCCCCGAGGCCCCAGGACAGGGGACCCCGAGTGGCTGCCACCGAGGTCATCGGGCTGGTGTCTCGGGCGCTAATGGTGCGCGGTTGCTGCACACTTGGTACAGTGAGAGGGCCGCGTGGGTCGGTCACTGTCCCCGCTTGTGCGAGCCTTTCCAGAGCACGTCACAGGCCCCCAAGAAGTCACGGACTTTTCAACGCAAGCTAACTATGGGAAGAAATAGGTGAACGTCGGCGCACAGTGCCGGCCGCTGCCTTTACCTCCTGCCCGACGTTAAGGTAGCAGTCGATGGCCAGCACGGGGCTCTTGAAGTTGTAGATGGCTTTGGGGAAGAGCTTGTAGGCAGCGTGCTGCAGGAACTTCTCCAGGAGGAACTGGGCCGGGGCTGCCAGGAGCGTGTGCTCGCTGTCGGGGGCGCACACGTACTGGAGGGGCAGGATGGGAGCCGCGCTCTCGGACGCCTGCAACGAGCCAGCCGAGACAGGCATGGGGGAGCAGCCGCGTGTGCGGCCCGGAGGCGCTGGGCGGCATCCCGGCAGGCTCCCAAGACGCGGTGCCTGAGGCCGCAGACAGGCTGGCCCCATGCCAGCTGTTCCCGCACACGCAGTTCATAAATTAGGTGCGGTAAGAGACACGGCACAGCGTAGCAGTTAGTGAGAGGGGGCTCCCCAGGGTCGAGACTGAGTATCTTCAGGCTCGGGTTGACTTTGGATAATTAGAATCGCAAATAAGGGGAACTGCTGGGTTAGTGACAGCACGGTGATAAACCATGTTCGAGTGTGTGCCATTCACTTTTGGTCCTGCATTTCCCTCCTTTGGCAATAAATGATACCGTAGTATGTAAGTTACACCTATAGCGGGCAAGAGAAAGTGGGACATAGGCTTTTTGGAAAGTAAGGCCCAACAGGAAGTCCTCGACAGTGCCGGTGTGTATGGGTTGGTTCCTCTCCCATCCCAGCCCCCTAGCCCCAAACGTAGAGGTTCCTAAGCGCCCCTGAGTAGTCCTTGCTGCAGTGAGTGACCGGATGTCAGGCCGTCTCCGGCCCATCGAATTCTCTGTACCGGGTTTGGTCTGTGTTATTACTATCTTTAAAAACACGTGGGAAGGGCCCAACAAGCATTTCCAAGTCACATTTTTCTCAGGCATTCTATAAGGAGTACTGGTGTAAAGTATGCCGTCCCAACCGAGCTCCGACGGAGCGGTGGAAGCTGTCTGCAGGAAGTTTCACTGGTGTTGGTTGCGCTGTGGTTCTAGGTGAGTTCTTGGTACCAGAAATGAAACTGCATAGTTGACATTGAGACTGTAACCCAGCTACTGAGAGGGCGGAGGCAGGAGGGTCACAAGTCTAAGGCCAGCTTGGACAGCTTAGAGACATCCTATCTTAAATAAAAACGAAATACAATTTAAAAGGGCTGAGGTGTAGCCTCGTGGCAGAGCACAGGCATAGCATTCACAGCCTGGATGCCCCTCCGAAGGCCAGGACCTCCTTGGGTTACTTCTCTTTTTAGTGGGAGTTGCATACTGCCTGTATCTAGAACAGAGATTCAGTATTCATAAGGAATTTCTGACTTCCACAAGCCGAAGCTGCTCATGGGTCTCTAAGAGCTGAAAACTGAGAGCTATTTTTCCATTCTGAAGGCCGCACTCTGCAGCCCCCCTGCAGCTGTCGCCATGCACCAAGTAAATAATTAAATTATACCATAAGCACTTCGGAGATTGTTTTGGTTACCAAGACAGCAAAAGCCACAGCCTATGAATGTTCAGAGAAAAAAAAAAATTGGCTGCAAGGCTAAGTTTTACCATAAAATTCAGCACCGCTCTACCGTGCTGAAAAAATACATATAAATGAAAAAGATGATCAAGGTGGATGAAAAGCGAACACCTCGAGAAAGATCCATGAAGAGACTGCCGGGAGCAGGACCTACCCCTCTGCTGGGCTGAGGAAGAGTCGGAGCAGAAACGCTTCCCAGCTTTCCAGTCCGACTGAACAAAAACAAAAAGAGAAGGCGGAGAATGCGAAGCCCTCTTCCCAAAGGTAGTGCCCAGGGAGAGACAACTGTTAACAGGAGCAAGGAAAAGGAAGGCACAGAAGAGACGGTAACTAGAGACTAGAGGTGGCTTCCTAAGCAAGCCACCTCAGGCGGAAAGGTTCGTTCGGCCAAAGGGCCTTGGTCTCCAGAAGACCGTGGAACACGTCCTGAACTGAACGGAAGCCACCTTCGCCCTCCCTGACTTGGTGCAGCGTTCCCCACTACCCTTTGGATGTTGGTACCAAGGCTGCTGTCCCGGGGGGCTGAGCGAGGAGCCTTGGGGAGCAGGCCGGGTGTCTTCCTGCGCAAGTGCGTCCTCGCGGTTCGCACAAGTCATTCCTTACAATCCCTGCAGACTACAGGCCAGTCAGGAAGACTACTGTTACTGTGAGGCTGCTACAGCACACAGCCTTGCGTCACTGCAGACATCACTGCAGGCATCACGCGAGCCATAAATCTGTGAAAACATTAAAATGGCCCAGTTCTAAGAGAAAAACACTGCACCTATTTTGAACGGTGGACTCAGCTCGCAAGACATACCACGACCTTTGGTTTGATGATGAAGTCCCTCTGCCCGCCGACCTGCACGTGCTTCTTCATGAGACTGAAGTTGTTGAAGCGGCAGATGAGCAGGCCGCTGCTGTTGGTTCTCAGGTTAAAGTCGACATCTTCGCAGAAATACCTAAATGACAACCACAGCGATGGGAGCGCTGCCTGCCACCGCCCGGCAGCTGTGCACAGGGGTCTGGCGGTGGCTAGGAGAGAGCCCCAGGAAGTGGGCCTGGCCCTGGTGGAGCTGGCCCTCTGCACGGACATGTCGGACAACGCCCACGATAGCGGTGTAGTCACTGATGGAAGCGAAAGGGTCGCAGGTGTCCTGCGGGGAACTGGCACTGTGTGCCCTTGTGCTGGGGCAGGAGCGCCCCGGGCCCGGTCCAGGATTCTGGCTGCGCTCAGGGCAGTGCGCCTACCACACCGAACACGTGCAAGTGGAGGCGGCGGCAGCCAGGTTAGACGGGGCCCAAGAGGGGCTTCTTGGTCCCACCCGGCATTGCTGCTCGGCGCGCGCAGACGTGCCTGGCAGAAGGACACAGCCAGCCTGCTCACCCCATCTGCCTTTTTTCGACAGGGTCTTGGCCTCTGGGGCTTACATGTAGGGAAAGTGATTTCCTTGAATTCTCAAGGTGAATGAGGGCTTAATCTGGCTTGACTGTGAGTCCACACAGACCTGTGTCAATTCAGCCGTATTTGTGTCTGTTTTAGTTTCTGTTGAATAGCAAGGCTCGTGTGTCTTTTCTAAGGATTTCACATCGTCGCACCTATTAGTGCCTAAGTGGTGGTGAGCCTACGGCACGCGTGCCATGCCCGGCTGTTTATTCGCACTGAAAGCTCTGAAAGGTTCGCCATCACTGGCCTAGGCAGTCTGGGGGTGCTTAGGCCCTAAGACACGCAGAGGAATAAAAGCACCTCCGAGGTTGGAGCTGGGCCTCGAGCACCGGGCCCTCCCGGAGAGCCTCCCTGGGTGCCCGGCCTACCTGTTGAAGTCGTACTGCACGTTCTGAGTCAAGTCGATGTTGAGGAGAATGAAGTCGTGCACGTGGCACCTAGAGAAAGGGGCCTTCAGGCTCTGCGGTGTCAGCTTGCTGCTCCACTTCTGTATGCCCAGGATCGCGTAGTGGACGATTTTCGGCGTGGATTCAATGTGCTGCAGGACGCTCTTCAAGGACACGTTCTTACTGGAAACCCCCGCTTCCACAGACTGGCTGTGAGAGGTAAAGGCGAGATGGGCACGGATGACGGGCCGGCACTGCAGGCTGTCCTCCCGCTGGACAGACCCAGCAGCTGCTGGGCGTCACGCGAACCTGGCCGAGAGGGCTGTTAAGCTCTGTGCCCGGCAGCCCTGCGCTGGCCACCACAGCTGCCTGCGCTGTGGGGCTTCTCACTCGCAGGCAGAGAGAAATCCAGTGTTTAAGAAAACAGTGCCCTGCAGTTACCGAAGAGGCAGCCGGCGTGGACGCCACGAAAGGATGCGTCCCTGTGCTGTTCACAGGAAAGGCATACGTGAAAACGTCCCTGGCTCCAAATCCATGGCAGAAATAAGGACACAAAATGTCTGCCTGGAGGGGCCCAGGGTCACCTGCACAGTGCTTTTAGGCAGGGAGGACACTAAGTATTAGCGCTATGTACTGTGCGGGACTTCGCATCGTTTAGCCTTTGCCGGTCTTCAAGAACCCCTGACCGCCAGCCCTGGGGTTGTGACGCCCGCAGTGCCCCGGGGAGGGCAGCACTGCTCCAGGAGGAGAACTGCGGTTTCGGCCCAGCCGCAACTTTACAGGTAATGGGCTCAGCAGAGGTGAAACCACTTGCTTCACCCACAGTTAACCGCAGCGCGGGGACGAAGGCCGGGCGTTTCGATGCAGGGGCAGCAGTCTACAGAGGGATCCTGGTGTCGCCAGCGTCTCTAACCCACGCGCGCTGAGACGCAGGAGGCCCGCGCCTCTCAGCAGGAAGACTCGAGGCCCCGCAAGGCTGCTGGGGAGCCGCGCTGCCGCTCGGAAGGGTCGCTACCTGGTCTGCTCCTGGACGCTGTGAATGTTCCACAGGACACAGGAGTCGTCCATCACCACGATGAAAGGCCACACGCACTGGCGCTTGACTCCCAGCTCCTCTAGGCGGTTCCTCTCCAGCTCTAGGTTGTGATACGACAGCTCCTTAATGAGGAACCTGGCAGCACCTGGAAGGCAGCACGACCACGGCTACACATCCTCCCTTCGCCCAGCGGGCGGCGCGCGGGGGGCGCGGCCGGTGTGCAGAGTGTGAGGCACCCGGAGGCCCGCCTGTCCGTCCCCAGAGTCACCCAGTCCGGTGAGGGGCAGTGCAAGCATGGTCTCCCCGGGAGGGTAGACCATAGGAGCCGCTGTTGCTAGTAGTCCCTAAAGCGCCACAGGAAGCTCTCCGCCTTGGAAGCGGCCACCCTCGGGCCCTGCGCCAGGGCGCCGGCAGAGCTGCGGGGAGTGGGAAGGCCCCTTCCGCTGACCCCGCTTGAGGCACCGTTAGGGTACAGGGGGCAGCATCTCTGAAAAAACCCCGCCTCCTCGCCTTAGAGCTGCCTTTTGCCAGAGAGAATTATGAGACATGAGAAAAGATAGAAACTGCAGTCCTGATTCCACCGCTCTCTAGCCCAGGGGCCCTGCACAAGTCTGCTCCCTGAGTCTCGGACCCTACTGAGAAGGTGGTGACGGTGTCTCCGGGTCGTGTGATGCTCAAGAGAGCACCCGAAGGGTCGGGGCAGTGAGTGTTCGCCATGATCTAGAGAGTCGCTGGGGAATGGCCACGTCCGATGAGTGGGCTGGCTACCCTGAAGTGAGAGCTGGGGATGATAATGCAGTGAAGAGCCTGAAATACGCTGTTCAGTTTATAGAGCGGCCCGACACTGCCTAATGAGATCCAGTGTAATGCTGGGATGGAGGAAAAGCCACCTTTCAAGAGCCAGCGTTGGGCAGTGCACCTGCCTAACGGTGTAAAGGCCATGTGTGAAACACAGCTACCAAGTGGCAGTCAGGGCGAAAGTGTCCCCTAAGGTCAAGAACGAGACAGGGATGCCCACTTGTACCACTTCCCTCGACACACAGTACTGGAAGTACTGCAAGAAGAGTTATGCAAGAACAAGTCATCTCAGCTGGACAGGAAGATACAAAACGATTTCCGTTCCCAGGCACTATACCTTACATGGAAAAACCAGTAAAAATTCCACAAAAAACCCTGTTAGAAATAAATGAACTCAGACAAAAAAAAATCACCAAAAATTAATTACATTTTTATAAACCAAAAATGAGCAGCCTACCAAAATAGTTTAATCCTAGCCAGGCATGGCGGCACACACCTGTAATTCCCGCACCCTAAGCTGGGGCAGGAGGTCACAAATGCAGCCCCAGTCTGGATGACTTTGTAGAAACACACACTCAGAGCCCGGAAATCAACCCGCTCGTGATGGTCAGATGAGCTTTGATAAGGGGGCCACGGCCACTCACTGGGGAAAGGACTGTCGGACAAACGGTGCTGCAAAAACGGGACGCCCAGTCCAGAAGAATGGACTGCGCGCTGACTGCACACTATATGCAGGAACGAATGAAAATGGGATCAGAGTCCAAGCTGAAAAGCTGGAGCTCGAAGACCTCTAGAAGAAGGCATAGGAGGCTTTGTGACATGGAATTTGGCAGTAGTCTCTTACGTATAAGATACCTGAAACAGCTGAGGAGATGGCTCAGTGGCCTGGCAAGTGTGAGGCTGTGAATTTATTTCCCGGTACCAAAAAAAAAAAAAATCTATGTCTGTATATAGATATCTATATATTTATATCTGTCTATCTTATCTATCTTTAAAACACAGATACCAAAAGAACGGACAAACTGGATTTCATCAAAGAACTTCCGTGTATCAGTGGACAAAGAGTGGAAGGGCAGTCTGTGACATGGGTGAGCATAGGTATTTACAAATAATGCATCCCAGCGGGAGTTTCTGTCCAACCAAAAACCTTATCCAACTGAAACAATGGGCGAAGGACTGAGACAGCATTTGCTGCAGTGGCACAGGTGGCCGGCAGGCACACAAAGTGAAACGCTGCGGCCGGGGATATAGCTCAGTGGTGCAAGCGCCTGCCTGGCAAGCACGAGGTCGTGAGTTCGATTCCCAGGACCAAAAAAAAAAAAAAAGCAGCACTGTCTCAGGCGCCCACCGTGATGGGGGAAAGCTCACGAGGGCGCCCCGGCCCAGCCGCAGCTCTCCAAGCTCTGGTGCATGCTACAGCACCTGCTGGGTGGCTCAGCTCTGAACCCCCAGGGGGCACAGGAAAGGCTCCTTCCAGGCGCGGTCACGGTGCCCTGCGGTGAGGACGACTCCCGCTCGCTAGCACGTCCCCTGCCTCGCCAGTGCGCAGCCCCGGGACGGCTGCGACTACCCTGGGAAGACTCCTAGGCCCTGCCCAGGGGCGCCCCAGACCAGTGACTCTGAGGAGAGACGACGGGCACCTGGCAGGAGGCTCTGCAGAGGCCGGGACCTCCGGAAGCTTCCTGCCCGCGAGTGGAGCGCTGGTGTTTTCCGTTCCGTACCCGCCCCCCGGCCCGGGAGCCCCTTACCCACGCCTGCGTTATTGAACATGCCGGGGAGCACCAGCATGATGTGGTTGGGCCAGTACTTGCGGTACAGCGGCATCTCATATTCTTTGACCACCAGCAGGTGGAGGTGGCTGATGCCCTCCATGGCGTGGAAAAGGTTTAGGAGTCCGTGCTCGTGGCGACCACTGGAAGGAGTGAAAATAGGGCTCTTGACTGCATTCAAATTCTGCTGAAAAGGAAGCAAAACGATAGAGCAAAAGGGGGATAAAACCCTGAGAGGCGAGCGGCTGAGAGAGCCGGACCCCGTCCTGCGGCCGGCGTCCTCGCCGCCTCACCCACCTTGTCCGAAACCAGGGGCAGCCGCATGCTCTCCAGGTGTCTGCCCTGCTTGCTGAAGACGAAGTGACTCTCTTTGGACTTGGGGATGATGAAGTAGAGCTGGACCTCCTCTCCCAGCATGGAGGAGGAAAACGTGAAGGCATGAAGGGTGGAGTCCGACATCTGCGTGAGGAGTCGGGGAGGTGAGCTCCTTCCCGGCCCCTGCCCGGGTACTCCTCAGGGTTCTGAGAGCAGCGAGGGGCACCGCTTGGCAGTGCCTCCCGCACACACTTGTGCCTCAGCAGCTGCCGCTGAGCGGAGCGCCAGGTCCCTCGCCCTACCCGGGATGCAGAAGCACTAGGCTGGCACTGCCCACAACTGCTGGCCAGGCCCGAGGAGGCCGCGCACCCCATGGACACACTCGAGCCCCAGTCATGGCCGCGGGATGGTCAGCTTCTGAGAGGACAGGTCTGGCACCACTGAGAGGCTTTGGGGCCCCGCTTTCTGGGCTGTGTCGGAGCCCGAAGGCTTCCTAACATCATTTAGGCCAGGGCCTGTCTCCCCTGAAGCTAAACCTATTTTTAATAGCTTTTTTTTGGCGGTGGGGGCGGTGGGGGAACCAGGAATTGAACTCATGACCTTGCACTTACCAGGCAGGCACTGTGCCTCTGAGCTGTATCCCCGGCCCTAACCTATTTTTGCAGTTGCTGGAAAGTTCGCTTGCGGTCCCTAACTAGTCTCTGAGTAAGGACGTGATAGGTCTTTGCAAGGCAGACAATATGGTATTTGGCTTCATGAAAGGATAACACCAGTTTTGCTTTGTACTGGGGATCACACCCAGGGTCTCATGCCTGCTAGGATAGAACTCTACCACTCAGCCACAGCTCCAGCCCCAGGATAATAGCAATTTTATCAGCTTTCCCAGTAGTTTTAATTCAGATACTGGATCTGGATTTCATAGAAAAGCAAGCGTTATTCTTCCTTAATTCTAGTTTTGCCTCAGAAATGTGGAAATTTTCTGTAATCACATAGAAACTATAAATGAGGTTTTTAGTCTAGAAATTTTCTAAAACCTATGATTTCTAGGCCTAGACTGGAATCATAAATAACTTTGAGCTGATTGCCAAGTAGCCCACCATGAAAACAAATGTGATACAAAAGATAATGCATGTGCTACTCCTCTGTGTGTCCTTCCACGCCCTGCTGTACGCATGTGTGGTGGTGCTCAGGGTGAGCAAGGCCTTCCTACCAAGCTACCCCCTCAGCCCTTGTTATTTCCAACAGGGTCTCACTAAGTTGCCTAGGCTGGGTTGGAACTTGCGATCCTCCTGCCTCTGCTTCCAGGTGTGCACCACTGCCCCCAGCTCCACCTGTATCTCCGGAGGCAGCAGGGAAGAGTGAGGCCCTGGTCCTGCGGGGCAGGAGCAGGTTCAGGGAGTCTGCTCTGCAAGACCTGGCAGAACCAAGGGTTGTTTCCAGGTGCTCAGGGCCAAGACAACATTCGAGATGAATCTGGGGAAGGTGGCACGGAACTTGGGCTGGATAGCACGCCCTCTTGTCGTGGCTGCCTCGCCCTCCTCTGTGCTTATGGGTGGACAGCGCGATCGAGGGGGTCCTGGGGCGGGGTGGGGCCCCCTCACAGCCCGGCTCCGACCCCCTGCACCAACACGCCGCAGCGCCAGTGCCGCGTGGCCCCCTCAGCTCTTGCTGCGGATGTCGCCGGCCCAGCAGGAGGAGAATGAAGATGGGACGGGCCGTGCACGCGCGGGGTGGCCCGGGCAGCTCCAGACCCCCCAGCGCCTGGGCCTCTACGGAGGCGGAGCGCCGCCTCGCCCTGAGACCCGCCCCCAGAGCCCGGGGCGGAGGGTGGCACCTGGGGGGCGGCGGCGAACTCCATGTACTGGTGGCACTGCTCGCAGTGGTGGAAGGTGTTGTGGGCCGCGTACTGGGTCAGCATCATGGACACGGTGTCCCGCTTCCGCGGCTCCTCGCTCCTCCCGTCCCTCGGTACTTCTGTGTGGCGGGCGGGGCGGAAACCGTTCGTCCCGGGGTCCCGCCAGGCCCAGAGCCCCCGCGCGCCGGAAGGGCCCCGCGCGCGCACCTCGCTTGACGCCCGCCAGCCGCTGCGTGTACACCAGGCTCATGCGGCGGAACTTGGGGTCGTGCACGCTGACGTCGAAGGGCATCTTGCCGAAGCTCTCCAGGTCTGGCCACGGCTCCCCCTCGGCCTGGCTCGAGCGGCCGCCCTCGCTGTGCTCTGGCCAAGAAGACGCGGGCGGAGGAGCTGAAGCTGTGCCGGGACCTGGGTCTCCAGAGCGCCACAGCCTCTGCCCCAGACGTCCTTCCGAGCTTAAGCTCCACGCTAACCCAGCGCGGGCGAACCCTGCAGCCTTGGGTGCCGTAAGCGGCCGCGGTGGCACGCGCGGTATACACCCCACACCACTGCTTTCAACTCCCCCGGTTTCAGCTACGGAGGTTCCAGAGGTTGATAGCCAAGAGGTTGGGGGGTGGGCACAGCCCCGTGCGTGCCGCACAGCTGAGCCCGGGGCCTGTGCCGCCGTGCTCAGGCCGGAGTCTGCAGGCCAGGCTCGGCCCGGGCTCAGGGCGCCCGGACGCGCGGGAGCTGGGGGCCCCGCGGCCTGGACGGGCTGCCCGCCTGCGGCTCCCTGCTCCCCACCTGTGGGCCCAGACGCATCCCCTCCACGCCGCGCTCTCCAAGTGGTAGGGACGTGCATCAAAGGGCTGAGACGGGCAGGCGGGTGGCGGGTGGCTAACAGCTGACATTACTCAGACACGCAAGGTGAACAGGCATTGTAAGCGGAAAGCGGCCGCGAGAGAAGTACACCTCGGAGAAAACCCCAAGCCAGGCCTTGGGCCCATGCTTGTAATCCTGGCATTCTGGGAGCGCTGGGGCAGATCTGCCAGTCTGAGCCCGGCCTGAGCAATTTAGTGAGACCCTGTCTCAAAACAGTAAGTCTGGGGTGTAGTAGAAAGCTCGCTTCCCAGTACTGCCAAAATCAATCAACAAGGCCAAGGATAGGAAGTGCGGTTCTTATCTAAGACAAATAATGTTTACAGCCCAAGTTGAAGTTCGCATTTCATTTAGAATTTGAAGTTTGTTTTAGTTTAAGAAGTTGTCACTGTGCCTCCCGAGCACCAGGACGGCGCTGGCGACTGACCGGGCCGAGGAAGACGAGGCGGGCGAGCGGAAGAGAACCCAAGCGAGAGGCCTGTGCCCTGGTGACCGCCCTGGCTCCGTTTCCCTTGGCTTTGGCCTGGTCCCAACCCCCTTCGAGGATCTGGAGTGTTCTGAGGCCAGCCCGGAGCGCTGGGTAACCCGAGGGGAGGTGGGGACACGGGTGTGGACGGGAAGGTGTGATCACGCGCGCGTGCGTGTGCAATCCAGGCTGTGCGCCGGAGGAACGCAGCCGCAGGCGCTGATTAAACGCGGGTGGCTTTCCCGCTCCTGCCCACACTACGCCAGTCCCCCGCCATCCGCAGCCGGCCAGCTGCTCAAGACAGCCGGACCGGGCAGCTTCTCGCCGCTGCCTGGCTGTGGAGGCGGCGGGCAGGGGCCGTGCCATCCTGGGGGCGAGAACACCCGTGCCCCCGCCCTGAC